CTGCCAGGTGTTCCCACCAGCTTCCATCCTGAAGCCCCCTGGTTCATTCCATTGTTGTCAGCCCTGTCCCATCCCATGCAGCTTGGTCAGCATGTTCTTTGGTTGCCTCAGGTCTGTCACTCAGTTACAAAGGTCTTATGTGGTCATTTCAGTCTCCCCACTTGATGAAGCATATGGGTCCTTCCTCCCTGCTCCCTGCAATGTCTTTATTCCAATCTTGTCCATCATTCTCCCCATATTGCAACAGCTGCAGTATAATCTACTGTTCTCCAGCCTCCCTGATCACATTCATGACAAGTATGACATGAATCTTGCCTTCTTACTGCAAGACCCAGCAGAAGATGTCCCCCCTTCTCCCTCTCCTCCATCAGAGCCCTGTTCATGAAGCTTTTATTAACTTTGCTGAGAGGATGAATGGGTGGGAGTTGCAATCACCTATGCTCCCATTTCCCCACAGACCCCCAATGCCCTAGCCCTTTGACACCTGACTCATGCTGTCCACTTCTGGAATTAATACTTCCCTGTCTGGAAATGACATCCATCTGTCATCCCATCTTTGGATCTAGTGAGGTCTCCACTGAGATCTGACATGCATTGCCACCCCCTAATGTGATATCAGTGTGCTTACTCAGATTTTGACATTCTTTGACTCATACTGTGATATTTCAACCATCCTCAACTTGTTTGTTGTCATTACTTACCAATCTTCTATGCTTGCTTACTTTTCATTTCTCACTTACTCATCATGATTACTCATTGCTTACAGTCCTTACTCATTACTTACCAAGTATTTGTGCCTCATTTTTCATAGGCTGCACTCCCCCCTACAGTATATAAACCCCCTATACTTAGCTACAAAAAAAGCAATCAAGAAGTCACTCAGGAATCAGTTCAGCTCATCTCAGTCCTAACTCATTGTCAACAGTTGAGGCTCCATCAAGGGTCTATCTACCTTCATTTATTATCTGAAGTGTCATCTGTGCTTAGTCAGCACATTTGATTAGTTATCCTTTCACTCCTGCATAACTCAACATTGACTTGTGCTAGGAGCTCATTCTATCCAAGTTCCTTACTGCAGTCAGAATCTCTCTCACAGTTATCATCCATTCATCCACTTCTGCACAACTCAATGTCAACTTGTGCCAGGAGTACTTTCAGCTGCATACCTTCACTCTGTTCAGCATCCTTCACCCTCTCAGTCATCATTCATTCATCTTCTCCTGCATAACTCACCATTGACTTGTGCCAGGAGCACCTGCTATTGAGCTCCCCCCCACATTAGATTTTTCTGCCCTCTGGGTTCCATGGAGGTAAATCACCGCTTGTTCTTTGTTGTCTTTGGTGTTGGTTTTGGTTGGTTTTTACCACCTTTCCACACTTTGACTTGCACCATCCACTGTGGGTGGATGACTACCATGAGTTCTTACATGAGCTCACAACTAATTTTGGTCCACAGGATGCCATAGCCAACACTGTCCAGCAACTTGAGAACCTTACTATGAAGGACAGCTCTCAGATCACCAAATATGTCATGAAGTTCAATCATTGGGCTTCACAGGTCAAGGACTATGGTGTTGGTGCACTCCACAACCACTTTTATAGCAGACTTCCAGACCACATCAAGGATGAGATCACTTGTGTCAGAAAACCTTCTACCCTTGCACAACTCTGTGACCTCACCCAGACTATTGATGCATGCTACTGCGAGCACAAAGTGGAGATCTCATGCACCACCAAGTCTGCCATGGATAAGTTGCAGTCTTCCAACTCCAACAATAAGTCTAAGTCATCCTCCTCCTCTGCTCCAAAGTCCAATGCCAAGGGCAAAGGCAAACAGAAAGATCTGCACAAGTCTGATATTGCCCATCTTCTGGGCAAGGGTGGCAAACTCACCTGCTGAATGCCAGTACAGGATGAAGAACAACCTCTGCCTCTTCTGTGGTGAGGCTGGCCACTCTGCTAAGGACTGTCCCAAGTCAACCTCTTGTGCAGCCAAAGCCTGTGCCACTACAGCTGGGGCTCCACCTGCTCCACCTGCAGAGAAGGCTGAGCCAAAAAATTTGTCCACTCCTCCAGGGAGTCTGCACAGCCTGGAGGAAGTGTTGAGCCCAGCTGTGCACAACTGGACATCCAACTCAATGCATCTGCTCTCTCTACTCCCAGTTCTTTACTTCTGTCTGTAACTCTTCTTGACTCTTCTGTTGATACTGTTTCTACATTGATCAATTCCAGCTCTTCTCATTGTTTTGTAGACCCATCTATAATCAAAAAATATTCTATTCCTGTTTTCTCCATTTCTCTGCCACTTCTGCTCCACTTGTTTGATGGCAGTACAAATGCTTCCATTTCCCAAGAAGTAGATCTTTCCCTCCACTTTCCTTCCAGCAATGTCAATTCTGTTTCATTTTATGTTACTCTGTTGGATTCTTCTTGTTCACTGGTATTAGGACACAACTGGCTCACCCACTTCAATCCATCAATTGACTGGGTATTGGGCAGTATATCATTTAAAGCACCATTACAGGGAATGCCAATGCCCCAGATGCCTTCATCACCCTCCACTGTGACCTCCCTGGATCTGACACCCTCCACACCATCTACAGCTCTGACTGCCCCTCTGACCAACTTGTCATGATCTGCTCCACTCATCTCACTCATCAACACTACTGTGTATGTCAGAGCCTGCACTCTCCCTGACACTAGACAGTTCTGCTTACAGCTTTCCACTGATTATGTGAAGTTTCATGCATCCTCAACTTCCTCTCCACCTCCTGACCTCTCCTTAGTCCCTCCTGAGTATCACAAGTTTGCTGACATCTTTAGCAAAGACAAGGCTACCAAGCTTCCACCACACTGCTTGTTTGATCTCAAGATCAACCTCAAGGAAGGAGCTTCTCCACCAGAGCTTGAAGCTCTCCATGCCTTCATTGATGAGCATCTTGGCTATGGTTTCATCAAGCAGTCCAGCTCCTACTCATGGTGCCCCTGTCCTCTTCATGAAGAAGAAGGATGGTTCACTCTGCCTGTGCATAGACTATTGAGGACTCAATAAAATCATGAAAAAAGATCACTATCCACTGCTGCTCATCTCTGACTTACTTGACTCCTGAGCTGTGCCAAAGTCTACACAAAGATCAACCTCTGCCATGCCTATCATCTAGTCTACATCACAGAAAGGGATGAATGGAAAATGGCTTTCCACACTCACTATGGCTCTTATGAGTGGTGGGTAATGCCCTTCAGTCTGACTAATGTGCCTGCAACTTTCCAGTGATTTGTCAATAGCATCTTTGCAGACATGCTTGATGTCTGTGTCATAGGTATACCTTGATGACATTTTAATTTATTTGCAGGACATGGAGTCACACCATGACCACATAAAAGAGGTACTTCTCATATCCATGACTCTTGGGCTCAATCCTGGTCCAGTCCAGACCCATAGCCCCTATCTCTGGTCAAGCCTGGTCCTAGTCCAGCCTAGAAAACCCAACTCTGGCCCTAGATAACCCAACTCTGGCCCTAGATAACCCAACTCTGGCCTGAACAACTCAAGTCCAGTCTTTTATCCCTATCTCCAGTCCATTCTGGCCTCCTGGCCTTGCACTGCTCCACCCTGGTCCTCCCAGGTCCATGTCCAGGTTGCCTGGACATAACTCCAGTCTGTTTTCCTTTGTTTTTACTATATTTAGTCTAGTCCCCTTTGCTGATCTTTGCTTACTGTACAAACCTGTGTCTGACTCTGGTCATGCTGGTCACCCAGACTTTAACTATTAGTCTTGGCACAGCCTCCATGGCTGTCCACTCCTTGCTAATCTTCTCACTAATAGCTTATTAACAAGTCCAGTTCTATGCTTGTTACCCTGGACCAGCCTCATGTATTTAACCCCTGTACATACTTCATAGCACCCTCAGTCAGAATATCAACTTAGTATTACCCTTGAACTCTGTACTACCCTCAAGTCTGCTCTACAGCTAAGGCCAAGCCTTAAGCTATCCCCAGCCCTGTCCTGGACCTCTCCCTGGCTTGCATAAGGGTACAGCACATAAGCTGAGACCAAGGGAGGTAGATCCAACCACAGACCAGCTTCCCCTTGTGTGCACTCTAAGACTGGCCAGTTTCCCATGCTCCTGGCCTTAAGTCTGGTCCGCCAGACTTAGCCCCTGACCTCTGGCCTTAACTCCAGTCCAACTGGACTTGGCCCCTGTCTCCTGGCCCTGACTTTGGCCACCTGGACTTGGCCCCTGTCACCCAGTCTTGAAGCCCAGTCACCCAAGGGTAAACCCATACTTGACAGTATATTCTGACTCACACTTGTGCAAGCCATTGCATCATGTCTAGGTCCTGCTCTAGAGCCCCTACCCATGACCTTGTCCCATTGGGACCCATCAGGCTACCTCTCATCTGACTCCAGAGCACAACCTGGAGATCTCTGCTGAAGCAGAGAGGCAACTGGTGACCCTCAGCACTCTGCACACCCCCAGGTCACATTACCCCTGGAACTATGTTCCTAGTGGTCAAAACTTAATGCATCCATTCCCTCACTCCTGCCCTGCCTTCCCCTTGTTTTCTCCTGACTCCAGACCAGCCATGTCAGCCCCTGAGCCAGACTTACAACATCAGCAAAACACAAAAATGTGTTAGTAACTCATAGCTGCCCATAGTATTTGCACAATTCCATATTAGTCCAAAGCAATGTCAAGCATCCTAGCAACTCATAGTGCCAGAGTAGACTACACCAGACTTGCCCAAAGTAGTGGCCAGCATCCAAGCAACTCATAGCACCTGAGTAAGCCACACCAGTGATACCAGCAATCCAAAGACCAATAGCTACCTAGCATACAAGGGAACAGACACACCTAGCTAATACAGCAACCTAGATTCCCACTGTAGTAGAGAACTCAGTAGATCTAACTTTGTTCCTATGCATGAAGGCAACAACACACAGACATAACATACAGCATTTTTTGATAAGTACAGGAAAGTAATGGATAGTACTAGTCTAGACAAATGGCAAGTATTCGACTACCAGCATGCTCAATAACTGTGCCTATCAAGATCTGGCATAAGTAAAATAGTGGCCCAAAAGAAAAGAGTGAGCATAGCATACCATTGGACTCGAGAGATGGCTGCAGCTCACTGGCCAGAACACTAATGTCGAAAATAGGCTCCCCCAGTCCATGTTTTTTCATTGCTACACATAATGAGCTGACCTCTATATCTTTTTCATGGACTCTCACCTCGCTGCTGCCCACCTTGTACTTGTACAACTTGGCCATTGATTCATATTCGTGGGTGATGCATGCAGCCAGAGCTTGTTCTGCACAAAAGGCTTCGCATTGTGCATGCACTACATCAAGAAGGAGAAGTGCCTCATGATTCAGCTGACTCTTTGATTCATGCTGCAGATTGAAAACCTATCAATGAGTGGTTATTTACTGAGTCCAAGCTTACTGCATTGATGACTATGATCTTCATATAATATCTTCTGTACTGGACAAGTTTCACATGCACAAGCAGTCAATACTTGATCATGGTGCATGATGTGGTAAGGGAAACAAGCCCATCAACAATTGGCACATCCCCAAGTTAGAACTCATGCAGAGCATCATACCAAGTGTGAAGTGTGTCAGGGTCACCATCCAATGGACTGCCAATGTAACTGAACACACCCATGTATCAGAGATCAAGACACCTGCATCAGCTAGCAATAACAATAACTATGATCCTCAAATTTGCTGGTACCTTGATTGCACTGAAAAATGTAGGATGTTTGAACTTGCAACATCATTATATGAATCGAAGACTCACTCCCATGGTTGTGCAGAAGAAAAGTCCTTGGAGGTTGAGGATGGGAGTTCTGATGATGGCGACAGTGAGATCAGTGATCGCAAGGAGGCAAATCTAGTTTCCAAGATGCCAGGTCCTGCACAGCCCATCACCAATTACTTCACCATCTCTGTGTGCCTCAGGACCCAGGATCCAGACTCCATTCCCTTCCCCTTGCATAGTTTTATCACAGATGGTACAGTGATCAACCTTTCCTATGACCCACCCTTGTGATGCATGAGTGTTGATGGCACTGCCAAGAAGTTTGGACTACTTGACCTCCAAGCCACCCTTGTCAATTTTCTAAATCGTGAGAAGGTGTATGGACCAAGCTCTGTGCACACTATAAGTGGGCAACATCAGGGATCAAGCTCTTCAACCCTGCCTTTTACTGATCTGCAGGTTTGGTACAAGATGCAGCTGCAGAACACAGTGATACATGATATCATGGACATCCTCCCTGCCCAGACTCTCTTCTGTTCTCCACCTTGTGAGACCTGGACCCTTGGCTGCTATGATGCAGCTATCATCAATGTGGACCCCCATTTCAAATGGCCAGAGAGTGGCCTGAAAGGTTCATGGTCCACACTATTTTTCCATGTCACTCACAAGAGTATCTTAGGTCATGTTGTTGGCCAGCTCTGTCTCCTGATGTGCCCTTTTGGCAAGAGGGGGGTAAGATGGTCATGGACAGACTGTTTTTTGGTCTACATTCAACATTTTGACATAGCAGCTGAAGATGTGACACACCTACATATCCTTAGGTGCACAAAGAGAGCAAATGGCCAATGTCTTGGTGATGTCATCCCACTCAGTCAGGTCTGGGTGTTCACACATCTCATACCTCGCTTCGGGAAAACTGCAGATAATTGATTGATGGCATACAACTCCTTCGAGCATTCTACCAAATTCTATCTCAACAAATACTTTGACAAAAATACATACTTTTCCCTAAGTCATTTGGACTCTCCTCCCATCTAGTCAACATACATGTTACCTTACCATATACCAGAGCTTATTACATGTTAATGTTGAAATGCATCAGTATTTTGAGAGGTGGCACCATTTTTGAATGTGTGACCCTACTTGTCAACAACCCTCAGAGATGTCCAAAGACTCAAACAAAAACAGATATCAAACAATAGATGGTACCTACAAGCTGATCAGTTCTCTCCCCCTGCCCAAACATGGCTGCACAGTTCATGTTATGGACAAGTTCACTGCTTCAGAACTTGAGGGCACCATCATCCATGAACCACAGATACAAGTTAGCTCTCCTCAGAGCCTCAGTTATGTTACAAATATTATCTTCGAGTCCTTCAGAGATACATTTACCTCCATAGCTCCCAGGTCCCTGATTGTCCCTCTGAAAACAATTCCCACATGTGTCCATAGCTATTCTGCCTCCTTCAACCAGGGTGGCTTGTCAGAGGACAGCCTGGTCAGCCTATATGATGACAATAGAAAGCGCTGGAACTGGGAGCTTCGTCCACCCCCAGGCTCTGATTCACCTCCTGAGCAACCTGGGCCACTTGCCTCAGAGCTGCCAGTAGAGTTGGAAAAGCTCTACTTTGAAAAGCAAGTTGCTCTGTTTCTCAATGCTATTGGAACTGCCACCAAATCCACAATGCCCAGTCTATCCAGCAAACCCCAGCATCAATGTATGGCAGACTGGAGCAGAACCAGCTTGCAAGGTTCTACAGGTTATTCCCAAAAGCCTGACCTCATCCTTGTCGATAACACCCCAGTATCCCTTGATGAGATTACATGGTTAAGTCCCAAAGTCATTGCTGAGTACTCAAAGGAGTCTTTCAAGCCAGCATCCTGCCTTGGGAAGATGATGGACACTAAGGCATATCTAACCCTTGTCAGCCATCCCTGGAGGCGCTATGTCCTTGGATTATCAATTACTGATAGCAAACTTCTTTGACTTCACTTTTATGACCACTCTGGTGGTGCAATCTCACCCTCTATCAATATCCACACTGATGCAGAAGTCTTCATATACATTGTATGTGCTGTTGCGTTTGGCTCCTGCTCAACCCTTGGCTTTGATTTGACCATAGAGATATCCCCCCATCCTGCACACAGCCACAAATGCACAGCACTTGTGATACCTCTCTCCCCTTTCCCCTCTCCTGCAATGCCTTCTCCTCACTTGGAGTCAGGCATCCTCCCCAGTGCAAACTCACTCCTGACTCTTGCATTACTTGAACACATCCCAGCAATCAAGAGGATCCAAGTAAACAAGACCTTTCTATGAGGTGCTCGATGTATTATTCTCGAGCACAGGCTTTCTAGGAAGGGGTACTGTTTGTTACCTTGCATGCTACAATGGGGAATACTACATCATCAAGGATTATTGGGTGGAGGAGTTCAGAGCAGAGGACAGCCCTGCACTGAAGTCAACATGATGAAGCTGGTCCAGGACATTGACAGAGTTCCCAAGTTGCAACACTACTGGGTCATTGAGGTCAAGCTGGGCATTGTTGATAAAACTGAATGATATCATGATGAGAAGTGGCGAATTGTGCATGAAGTCTCGGAGAACTCATGTGCGATTGGCTATGAAGCTGTGTGCAAGGCCAATGGTAATGTTCAAGACAAAAAAGGAACTCGTTTCATGCATCCAAGATATTTTATGAAGTACAGTATCCTCTTCCACTTGTAAAATCAATACTAATTTCTTTAACAGTCCAACAGCAGGCTCTCGGGAGGGGTGTCCTCCATCGAGATTGTAGCATCAACCATGTAGCTTTCTCCTTGACTGGGAATTTGCTGTATGGGTCATGTTTCAGGGGGAATATGACTTGGGTGGCACAGTAAGTACTACACAAAACATTTTGGAACTTGAAGCTGATAGTATGCAAAGGGGACAGTCCCCTTCCTTTCAGTGAATATCCTTTGCCAACTCAAGGAAGCCATCACTAAAAGTGGAAAGACTAATGTCCCATCGATCTGGAAAAGCACCTCTCTCACCCATGTATTCATCGATCACCCTACTACTATACACCATACATTTGTGGACGATATCAAATCCCTGTTCTATGTTTTCATCTGGATTTCCATCCTTTATGATGGGCCACTTGGCCATGAGCATCAAGATATCAGCCATGTAAAGACACTTCTTGGCTTGTGGAGTGAAAAGGTGGCCAAAGATCTTGAAATCACCAGATGCACCAAGTTCACATTCCTTAATGACCTGTCTGAATCAAGGCTGGATTCCGAGGTCTTGCAATATTTTCAAGATCTAATCCCTCTGGCTAATGAGTGGTGCATATTGCTTGGGCAGTCCCTGCTGAGCAGAACTGCAGTGCAGTTCTCTGACGTTATCTCCCTTTTTGATCATTTCTTGGCCAGCATGTCATACAAGAAACCACCAGAGATGACAAATGCATTCCAGCAGATCATCACCCAGCACAAAGTGCTTAATTCAAGCATGTGTCCAAGTCAGGAGAATGATATGGATGTTATGTCTTTGGCAATTATGTCTTCTAAACACCTTTGTGAAGAGGTAAGGAGCATGGATAACCCTCCTATACCCAATAAATGCTTCAAAGGCATGTAGTCTTAGCATGAATTATATGTTTAGTTCACATTCTGTATGTGTATGTTACATGTAAAGTGTTTCAATTCATTTGCAGTGGGTAACCATCTCCATGCATCATTTTGTTTTACATCTTGTGATGAACCTGTCAATATTTATATGGATTCACAAGATGTCATTTCATCATGGTCCCCAGGCTTCCATCTTATACTGTTCTCTGTTTAACTGCTTGTACCTTCAGATATCCACCCAATCTGGAACAATCCCACTGAAAAAGAAGGATAGCAAAAAAGCCAAATGACAACCAGAGGCCAATGGAAGCACTTGACCCACAAAAAACAAGTGTCTAGGCAGCCCACCTGTCAATCTTGAAGAGTCTCAGTGTGTTGCCACAGCAGGACTCTGTTATAGTGGAAGGGCAGGGGTGGGTTCAGGTGGAAGGGCTGAGCAATTGGAGCGGATTGGTACTGCCCTTGAAGGCCAAGCTACATGGCCACAAAAGTCAATGGATCTCCCCAACAATTCCATTATAAATCCTCTTGCACCTCCACCCACTTGGCAGAAAAAGGGTGGGGCCCACAGTGCTGGCCAGAATGCAAAACTGAAGGTCAGTTCTAGTTATTTGCAAATATCAAGCTAACTGCTTGCAAAGTCCAATGTCGCCCCACCACCCTACATGCCTCCATTGCGAATGGTCCTAGCCCAGCTGATATGCCTCTGGTGAGTGTCTTTTCATACTGATATACAATGTTCATTTCAGAATCCTGTCCCTCAGTCTTCAACAGCAGTAGCAACACCTGTCTTCCATCAGTGCCCCACAAACTCCCATCACTTTGGTTTCAGTGTTCTGGCTCAACAGCCAGGTCATATTGTGCCTCCCAGGATGGAACCTGACCTTCAAGTGCTCAATAATCCTTATATTGCCACAATTTGGGGAGACCAAGTTCCCAGTAATACATCTCATCTGCCAACACCCCAGCCCAACTACCAGTCTTGGTTTATCCCCCACCAGCTGCCTGCTACTGTCCCTGACTCTTGTATCAACCCCTCCCTTGATAGCTTGCTCTCATTGAGACAAACTTCAGCAACCACTGATGTTCGCCACAAGAGTTCAGAGAAGCTGTCATCAGAGGGCTCCTCAGAAGAGGAGTCAGAGTCCTTGAGTAATAACCCATCAGACACAGAGGTTGGCAAGGTCTCCAGCAATGAGTTTGACAAAGATGAGGATGACGCATTTGGATGGGGTGCAATGAATCTTAGGCAATCAACTCATCCTGGTATGTGTCAGAGGTTATTATGGTATTGGCTCAACATTCTTTGTTAGGCTTCTCCCAAGAAACGATGACAAGCAATCCTATTCACCACAATTCCTTACCCCCTGACCACAAGTTTCAGTACTCATGTGATGAGGATGACAATGTGGCTCTGCAAAGCTTACAATCCAAGGACAAGGCTCAGCCAGAGGTATGAAAATGCCATTCCTGCTAGCTTTATTTATTCAGATTGTTATTTTAGGGTTCCCAATGTGGCACTGTCATCGACGTTCTCCCTTGTGCACGACTTGGTCAACAAAGTATCTCAGTGCACCAGAGCCCCTTGTAGAAAGCTACAGATGAGGGCCCATTGCCTTCACAACTGAGATTTTACAAGGCAGTATGGAAGGACTGTCTCAAAGATGCTAAGTGAGAATGCAGGGCTGCACATGCACTTTCTAACCCATTCCCATCAAAATCTCACAACCTCAACCTCCCCATAACAGAGGCACTTGTCACTGTTGTTGTTGAGTGGAATCAACACAGTGTGCAATTTGAAGATGGTGAGTAACAATATTTTTGCTTTATACATGTCTCATTATCCTAACTTTATAGGTTACTGGCCTGACCACAAGCAAGATATGGCATGCCTCGTAAGTAGTCCCATCTTTTGGTTACAGCTACTGACATACTGCTGGTAGCTCCTTGGTGATATATCTACCTGGCATTTGGAATTGAAGTCAGTTATGCTGGCAACCATGCCATCTGTGTTCAACCTTGTCCCTCCTTCTGATGTTGCACCACAGGTTCATGTATAATGGATAGAGACTGCTGCTGCAAAGCTCCTTGACAACTTGCTTTTCCTGCAAGACAGTTTCGATGAGAATGTACATTCACACAGTTCATTGTCTGCACTACTAATGGATTGGTTTATCAGGGAAAAACCAGGAATTTCACTCACCCTGCCCTCCAGGAAGCTGTCATACAATTCTACTATACTGGGACCTATTGAATTGCAGATAAGCGTCCTGAGTCCTTCAACAATTCAGTTCCCCTTTCCTGTCTGGCTCTTGTCACAGCCATGGTGAGTTATTTTACACCTGAAGTCACTGCAACTCAAACTTTTCTCACAGTATCATTGTGTGTTGGATGGATTTGCAAAGAATGGCACAGAAAAGATGATGCCTCAATTCTCTGGCAAGGCTTACAATTCCATTTTCCATGGCATGATGAAGGTGCTGAATGACATCCTTTGTAATCCCTATCATGGCACAAGGTTGCACAATCAGCTTTCTCAGTGGGAAAAGGAAGGATGGTAAGCACTGGGGGGGCTGACATGCTCATGCTGACTCCTCGTATCAGGGCTGCACTGCAAGAGGTTGATTTGAATGTAGAGAGGTACCAGCACATTCAGGCAGTCCTTGATTGATTTCATAATACCTAGTCCTGTCATGCCTGTCATTACATGTAGTACACAATTGATGCCAATGCTCCTGTTCCTGTCATACCTGCTGTGAACTGTTCCTAGTTGTGGAGTGATCACATGTTTGCAAAGTAAACATTGAGATGGGGAGTACTGGACAACACCCCAAGGAGAATACAGTCTGGCCAGTTTTGTACAGTGATATCTAAGCATGAAAGTTCCATAGCAATCCATAGTAAGTAAGATACTGGACAAAGTTCCATGACAATGTGACCATTCCATAGTAACAGGCAACTAGCCATAGCAAAAAGTGTTGTTGGGTGCATCTGTCCAGCCTGGACCTAGCTAGGGGACTCTGTGTATTATGGAGCACTGTGGAGAGCTCCACAGCTCAAAGTGATGTTCTGATGAATCCAGACTCACCACCAACCCCAGTTCATGCCTGAGCCCACTTCCAAGTCAGAATTACCCTCCAGACTTGCCCCTGAGCTGGCCTCAACAACCAGACTCACTTCTGTTAGCTCCCCTGAGCTACCTCTGACTCCTGGCTGGTCACCCTGGTCTTCACCACAGTCCTTACCTCAGTCATCCCAGCACTCTAGCCCAGCTGTCTTTGACCAGTTCTACTGTACTGAACACTGGGATCATATCACTCATTTGACCTCCTGACTCCCTGATGTTGGTCTTTTGACCTCTGTGCACCTCTGGTGCAGCCCCAAGGCCTGGACCTAGCCAGTCCTGGTCCTCAACACCTTCCCTGTTCCCCATTGGCACTTGGCTTCAGTGGTTTTTGGGCCCAGTCTCCACCCTTGGCCTTTGTTACACTGGCCTTGGAGCCCTGGACCCCTTTCCAGTCTCCAGACTGTCTGTTACTGGCCTGTCTGGCCTTAGGTTGGCTTGTCCACACTCACCTGGACTTGTCTGAAGCCAGTCTGCCACTTCTCTCGGCCTTCTGCCCTTTGTTACTGGCCATCCTGGCCCCAGTTTGATTCAAACACCTCACCTGGACTTGTCTAGACCTGTTACTAGGTCTTGGACCAGTCCTGGCTTTCCTCAGACTCTCCTATCCCTTGTCCTGGTCCTGCACTAGTCACCTCAGCCTCAGGATGGTGCTTGTCTTTCAGACTTGCTCCAGACCTTGGCTCTGGTGGTCTTGGCTAGTGTTTGACACCTCCACTTCAGTCTAGGACCAGTCTGCCAGCCCTCTTGCCCTTAGCCCGGTCCCTGACCTCTCTTCCAGCCTCTCTTTTCACTTGGAGGCACCCCTGGGCATGCTAGTCCTTTGGACTTGCTCCTGGCCCCTGGTTTTCAGTCTAGGACTGGTCTGCCAGTCCTCCAGCCCCTATCCTGGTCCCCAACCTCATTTCCAGTCCTTTCCCTGTCCTCCATCCACCCTGGGATCTTAACCAGGTTAACAAGTTGGTAACTATGTACTCCAGAAGCCATAACTGGTGGTCTTGGTTGAGACAAAACAATTAGAGTCTGCCCCAGGATTCTAACCAGGTCAACAAGTTGGTACTCTAGTACACCAGAAGCCAAAACTGGTGGTCTCAGTAGAGATCTGTTCCCCTTAGCAGTCCTCCTGGCTCATCCTGCCAGTCCCCAGACTTCCCTTGGCCTCAACCCAGCTTTGTAGCCTTGGACCAGACTTGCTAACTCCAGTCCCCCTATTTGTGTCTGGTTTTTTCACCTCCAGACTCCCTTATGACTGGTCTCCCCAGTTCTGGTCTTCCCTCCCTCACTAGGCCTTGTCAGCCTTTGTCTGGCCTGTCATTTCCAGACTTCCTTATAGCCCCTGACCGGTCTTGCTGACTCTGGCCTTCTTTCTCTTTTCTGGTGTTTTATCTCTGGACTTCCTCATGACCTCTGACTAGTCTTGCTCACTCCAGACTCATTTCTTTTGGCCAGTCTTCCATCTCCAGCCTCCCTTGGCCTCTGATACCCCTTGGGTAGCTCTATGCTACTCCCTTGCCACTCCTTTGGCCTTCGGGCTTGTCCCTCATCCTGGAACTACCCCTGACCTCTACCCCAGTGCTATGGTCTTAACCTAGCACCTCTTTCTGGTCCTTGGTGGACCTGGCCTTGGTTCTCTCTCGGTCTCCGACCCCTATTTAACTGGCCTTGTCAACTCATTAGGAACTGAAGTATCTAGGTTGTAGGGAACTGACTAGCCCACTCATAGGCACCCATTGGTGGCTGAGTGTAGTGCAGTCACCTATCCCCACCTAATACTAAAGTTTGCTAACTCCCCTGACATCAACCCTGCCTTGGAGCATGAATTTGCTTGCAAGACAACCCCAGGCCTCAGCCCATCTGACAAACCCCTGACTCTGCTGGTCTGTTTCCCAGCTCACCCACTTGCCCTGGAACTTGTATGTTCATGAGGCCCTTCAGGTGCCAGCTAACCCCTCACCTTCCCCCTTACCATCACTACTGTCACCCCACCATCGACTCCAGAACTCTGGTCCTACCCACTCTCCCAACTCCAGTCTTACCAGTTGTCTTTGGCCTGCCATTTTTCACCAGCCTCCTTGCTTCCTCTTGGGCTCTGGTTCTGGCCTTCATACCCTTACTTTTGACTCCAACACTCCTTACTATCCTTGTACCAGTCCAGCCTGCCCTGCCAGTCTTGTATCTCCAGTTTCAAAGCTTTTTATGGCCTTGTAAAAGCTTCCTGGAACCAGTCTTGACACCTGTTAAGCTGGTCTCCATGTTTCAGTACTTGGATTTACAACTCCAGTGGTAGTACTCCTACTATCCCATCCAGTACTCCTCTTAGCAGTCCTGGCACACACCTTGTACCCCTGTAGACTTGGGAAGTCTACCCTAAGAGGGGGATAAGGGACCTTGCTAGTGATCTACTCTCTTCCAAACCCCTGTCTGTTACCTCTCCAGTGCCCTCAGCACAACCCCACTCAGTCCCTACACACCAGTCCCTGGTTCCCTGGCCCAGTCCTTGCATACTGAAACACTCCCAAACCACCTGCCCTGGGTTGCTCCCAGCCCTTGACATTTGTGTTGGTACTCTGGTCTCACTATCTCAGTAGTCCTTGGCCCTCAGTGATTGTGTGTTCACCAGTCTCACTGGTGTCACACACCAAAGGTGTTTGGTGAGGTGGACATGGATACAGCTGATGAATGGAGATGAAGACCATAGCCCTCATATGAAGAAGGACAGCCAGAAATGTTGGCAGTCATCCCTCACACAAGAACAAGTCATCAGTGCCAAAGAAAAAGAAAGGGAGCGAGTTAAGCGCTGGTTAAAATTCTTAAGCACCTGTGCATGGCATTCTGGTTTTTGACATATCTCTGCCATTTCTGCAGATACTGAGACCATTCCCACACTCACTTGTAGTGCTCAGCCATGTGATCCTACCTTCCAAAATTGGAAAGGATTTGCACACTCCACACATTTCAACAGCACTCCCTCCAAAAGACACTCATTTCGCTAAATTCTTCTGATATGGCTGCCTCCAAGTCAATCATTTTGCTTGTTCCCTTTCTAGGGACCATGGCTACATATATCTACCAGGAGTTCCTACCAGCTTCCATCCCAAAGCATCCTGGTACATCCCACCCTCATCTGTGCCCTCTCAGCCCATCCAGCTTGGACAGTGTGTTCTTTTTGTCAGTATGACCTCTAGGAGGACATTCTTTGGTCACCTCAGGTCTGTCATTCACTTGGAAAGGTCTTACATGGTCATTTCAGTCTCTCCAGCCCAAGAAGCATATGGATCCTTCCTCCCTGCTCCCTGCAATGTCTTCATACCAGTCTTGTCCATCATTCTTGCAAGATTGTGACAGCTACAGTATAATCTACTGTTCTCCACTCTCCCTGATCACATCCATGACAAGTATGATGCACATCTTGCCTCCTTGTTGCAAGATACAGCAGAAGACACTCCCCCTTCATCCTCTCTTCCAACAGAGCCTCATTCATGAAGTTTTTATTTGCTTCACTGAGAGGATGGTTTGGGGGGGAAAGTTGTGATCCCCTATGCTCCTGTCACCCCACAGACCTCCAAAGCTTGACCCCTGTTGACATCTGACTCACCCTCTCCACTTTTGGATGTACTATATTGGCATCAGATCAGCACTGCCTCTCTGTCATCCCACCTTGGCCTAGAAGTGATCTCTTTGAGATGTGACATGCACAGCCTCCCCCTAATGCAATTCCAGTGCACTTTCCCAGTTCCTGACATTACTTGACTCATACTTTGACATTCTGACTGTCTCTGACTCACCTATTGCCAATACTTACCAATCTTTTGACTTTGCTTACTGATTCTTTGCTTTTTGGCTTGCTAATCCTTACCAATGCTTACCAATGCTTTCCAAGATGATTACCCATTGCTTACATTCCTTACTCATCAGTAGTTACCAATCACTTACCAAGTGTTTGCACCTTGTTTTCCAAGGGCAACACCCCTGTACTATATATAAATCACTGTACTCAGATAGCAAAAAAAGAAGAAGACATCAGAGAGCCCCTCTTGCTTGCATTTTTATCATCACTCAGTAATTCATTCACCAGCTTTGATAGTTGAGACTTTATTAAGGGTCTAACTATTTTCTACTTCGCTTATCCTTGTCTATCATCAATATACTTTGCTCCAAGCCCTCCCTGAGCTCAGTGCAGCTTAGGACATTGAATTAAGTTGCCATCCATCCTTCTGTAGGCTGACAGCAGTCTACTATATCACTTTCTATTGCATTCTTGCTCCTTCTTTGTCAGGAGCACCCCCAACCCTCAGCACTTGTCCTTGAGTGTTGTAGCTCACAAAAACCCACCCAAATCAAAGGTTCTACCATCTAGGTACCACATGGGCACACCACCACTTGCTCTTTTTGTCTTTTGTGTTGGTTTTGGTTGGTTTTCACCACTGAACCACACTTTGACTCACACCAGTCTCAGCCTCCTGTTGTCAGCCCTTTGGCTGGATAACCCCTAGGCCTCACCCAGTCTCCAGACCCCCTGAACCAATCCTCCAATGGTTTTTGGCCCTTGGGCTTCTTACCACTGGACAACCCACCACCAACCAACTCTGGACACCCCTAAACTGGACTCAAGACCCAGACTCACCTCCTGCCAACACTCCTAGGCCTTCATTGAACCAGTCTTATGACCTTCTGGTCCCCAGTTCATGCCTAGCTATGTCTGGCCCTCTGGTCCTTGTCCAAACCAAACTCTGGCTGTCCTAGACAGTTTCCAATCCCTCACTGACCTCCAGAAACTCACCCAGCCTTGCCACTTCTGGCCTTGGGTTTGCATCTTGCTACCCCTGGTTACCCCAGTCTCAGTGTTAGCCCACTGGCCTACACTGTTTTGGCCTCTGGTTGTCAGCCCACCAGCTAAATGGCACCTCAGGTCATCTCCAACTACCCCAAACCTCTCCAACCCCTTCAGCCAGTCACTCCAGCCTGGCCCAAGTCCATACCAGTCTTCCTTTGGCATTTCTGGCCTTGCATCCCTGTCCAAGTCCAAACCAGTCTCCCACTGCTCTTTCTAGCCCTTCTGGCCCTCACTCGCTCCTGACTGGTCCCCACCTGGCTTTTCTAAGCCCTCCTTGACCATTAGACCAGTCCCCAGTTGGCCCTTCCGGTCCTCTCTGACCCTCAGACCAGCTCCTGGCCTTCCTGGCCTTCTGTCCCCTTGACCAGTCTTCGGTCTGGCTGTTTTCTCCAGACCACTCACTTTAGCACAACTGGCTTCAGCCACTCCCAGTCTTGGTCTCCAGCTTTTGCCACCCCTGGCCTGAGCCACCCTTGGTCTCAGCCTTCAGCTTTGACCCCTGCCTCTAGCCCTGGTTTCATGTTTCCTTGTTATATGTTTTCTTGGTTTTCTGTTACCTGTTTTCTTTTTCTGTAGATACACATTCTCAGACCCTATGACCCCCTGGAGCAGACCTTGGACCTGTCTCAGCCTTCATCAGCACTTCTCATGACCCTTGGTACCCCTGCAGTGCACTCCCA